TACAATGACCAACAATACCTCATAGCCACCTGGCATGAATTCATACCTACAAAAGAACAACTAACCTCCTCCATGAAGGCCCACCGAAAGTGGAACAATACCCATAACACCATAGAACATTAGGTCGAGACTTAACAACTGATTTGCTTAAGCATGTAGTGGAGGTTCACAATCTGTTCACAAAACCAAATACACATATACTCTATACACAACAAATATGTAATCGTGCGGTATGTAGAAACACAAGTGTGTTTGTGTGTTGGACAATGAAATGGCATGGTCCCGGGACTTGTCGCCGATGATAACGAACATGGAACAGTGTCTGGTTTTGACTCCGTTTTCAATTAGGATTCTAATACGTCGTCCACCTTCTTTTTCATTCTGCTTGATTTTTTTGCTTTCGGCTTCGGCAGAAATTACCAGTGACGGCGAGTTGGCTTAAATTGGCAGGTTGTTGGCAAACTGCTTATGCGTTTGCAGAACTTTGCTGGGGTTAGGGATGAAGATGGACGGATTTAGGGATATGGATCAATTATTTGAACGTGTACAGAATATATAGCAGATGGCTTTGATTTGAACCAGTTTAGGGATAGGGATTGAGTTGAATGGATTTAGGGATATAGATCAATGATTTGAAATACAATGAAAACATTCACACCTCCAACCTTATTGAAGGTTTTAGTGTGTTCTTTCATCAGTCAGCTACACAATCACACATACATAGCCTCTCTGTTTCAAGTCTCTTCATCAGTGCAAGAATGTGAACCAACAAATATAACCATGCCTTGTGCAAAAGAGTATATATCATCATTTCGTACACAGAAATATCACAGTTGATAAAAATTGTCCCAGAGGTACCTAGGTTACCGGTAGATCCCAACCTTCCTGCGGTCAAGGGTTCGAGTCCCACCAAAGACGAGTGTGTGAGTTTTGCCTTACATAAATATTATATACTTCAAAAAGAAGTTGATCTGACTTGTAGGACCTTTTCACACATGATTTACTCTCATAGAAAGATGAATAAAGAAATAAGCAATAATTCTCCTAGTGTTATGGCTTATTAAAACTTTAGCTTATAGTAAATATTCAGTGACCATGTTTCAACAGTCAATTAGATTTTACCATATAAAATAAAACTATATGTGAGCATGTATTGGAAGATGGCTTATAACATAACATGAAGCAAATTGAAAAACTAATATGAACCTGTGGCTTTAGATCCCTATGGATGATTTGATTCTCACGAAGGACTTTCAGACCAGCGGCTGTAAAAGAAACAATCTTAATAAATTCAATCACTCACCAATACCAGTAATTTAAAAACGAAAAGAACAAGTTCTAAAATACCTAATTGCTGCATAAAGTGAACTGCTGTTGATTTGGGAATTCTACCTTGACGTCTTTGAATGAACATAGATAGATCACCTCCTTTGCAGTACTCTAGGACAAGATGTATCTTTCCAGGTTCCTAATTCCACACATRTGAGATTCAACAAYGATTTCAAACCAGTTTTAAGAAATAGAAAGGTTCCAATTTTTAGTCCACTTCATTTCTTCTTTCAATTTGGTTTGGCAGGTCTCCTTTCCTTGATTTGAGGATAAATGAAGAAGGGACCAACAAAACAAAGATGAAAAAAAGGGTACAAAGATTGAGTAAGTTAAAAGATGTTGGTGTATCGACCGAGCAAGAAGAAAATGGTACTGTTCAATAAGCCTAAATCTAAAACAAAAACACTATCGAATAAATGATTTGTATAAGCTCTTTAATAATGCCAAAGTATCTAAAAAGTGATGCTTCAACCTCGTTAGTTTAGATTCATTCAAGATTAACCTATATTATACAACAAAGGTCCTATGTTAAATTAATGAAAGCAAAATCAAGGGTCAATATCATATACTTACCACTCCATGATGGTTGCCAATGTTCACGATGATGATTTGAAATGCTGAAACATATCTTAGTCTGCAGTTTAAAGCATCTACTTGGCTGATACAAAGACAATAGATTTACACGATTAGTGTATTTAAGTAAACATGGTAAATTTGGAAGGTAGTCTTGATTTAAAGTTAGAGCAAAAACTTACAAAAGAATGAACGACATAAAAGATGGTGGTTTGAATGAGTACTGTGAAGAATAAACCAACATATTATGTTTGAAGAATAAAACCCTAACCTGCTCGAAATTAGTGGTAAACAAGGAACCAATTGATCTGAGAATTTGACCCAATTCATCACCGACATAAAAAATAAAACTTGAAACAGAAACAACCAATATATGAATCTGGGAATTCRAACAYAAAWTGTTTAAGAKGAATTAGCAAATGATATTAAYAKATCAGATGGATGATCTAGCAAAGGACCAAAAAAGGGTTTTAAGATTAGATGGAGAATCTAGCAAAACAAATATATCCATATAACCACAACAAACTTCTACACCGACATAAAAATAAAACTTGAAAATCTARGATTGAAGGAAAAGAACCTTGCAAGCTTTGAATCTGMTTGTATTYTGAAGAACAAAGACAATAGGCAAAGGTTATAGAGGAATCGATGCAAAAGATGTAAAGCTCTCAAAGGCAGAGTCCTCATCAATGGTGTTGTAAGAGTAAATATCGAGGAAAGATGTCGATAGAGGCGTGGAAGTGTTGGCGGAGACAGAGGCGCCGGAGATTGACCGCAAATCGAAGAAAACCAGAACCRACATAAGGTTTTCAACTCAATCCCAAATCAAAGAAAACCCAAAAGAGAAATCCATTAGGATAATCGAAAGATGGAGATAATAAAGGCAAATGCGAGATTGATAGGCCTATTCAACAAATCTAAAAATTAGTGATTTGTTCTTAGTAACTAAAAAATCCCTAAAGAATAGCTCAAATCCATAGGCCACATCTCACAAAATTGCAGAATCAAGGATAATGATAGAAAAAAAATGCAATCGATACATACAACTCCAGTAACACTGGTCGCTGAAACAGAAAACTTCTGATCCGATAGGTAGTCCCTTGTTAGSAGATCTACACATAACCAACAACATATAGAAAATTGCTCACAGAAACTAAATCCAAAGTCGTATGCATATATATYTCGATCATTTAGAGAATTCAATGCGTAGAAGAAGATCAAAGTTGGAAACGCACCTTTGGCTTTCTTGCCGATATCGGAGAAGAGTCCTGGTCCACTGTTCATTGTCGATGACGACCAGAAAGAGAGAGAAAACGACGTAGGAGATTCGACGGGGAGGTTGAGGCCCTAAGGGGAAGGGGGGTTATACCTACAAATGGTTCGAGATTAAATCAAATCTGTATTCTTGAAAATCGGTTAGGGATGAAATCGAATCCGTATTCTTCAAAATCTGTTGGCGATGAAATCAGATAGAGATGAAATCATTTCTGTTGGTGATGAAATCGGATAGGGATAAAATCGGATAGGGATGAAATCAGATAAGGTTTAGGAATGGCTTTAATAGGTTGTACCATTAGCAATATAGGTTATCTTTAAGAGTTTTAAGAGTTTTTAAGAGTTTTAGTCAAATGCATTATAAGATAGTATAGATATATATATATATATATATATATATATATAAATTAAAATATAATATCATATAGTTTTTTAACTTTTTAATTGAAAATAAAAAAACATAAAATGTCTAGAATGCCCTCCAAGTTAACTTATTTAACAAATGCTTTTAACGGTGTTAGGGCAAAGGGACCTAAGGGTGTATGAAAATGTAAATCATAGGGACGTTTTCCATAGTTATTTTGATTTAGGGACATACAGTGTGATTTTATGTAAATCACAAGGACCAATAATGTAATTTACTCTAGTTTTTATTTTCAATTTTCTAATATTGTTCAAATTGAAGAAAATAATGAATGATTAATTTAGTTGGTTAAGTTATATTAACAATTATCAGTATTCATAAATAATAAATATTTTAAATTATTAAGTACTGAGTTTAGGGAGGGTAGTCATAATTTCTAACATACCATAGCGACCAAATCCTATTGTTATTTATATTATATGTTTAATATCAAACATTATCAATACTAGATTATAAAGCATTTGACAAAAGCTCTTAAAAAATAATTTTTATGCATGAAGTACTGTTTATTGATACATATTATTTAAAATTCAAGACTACAAGTAACTATGCGTAGGTACAACTTATTAAAACTTCATGTTTGAATTCATGTAACTAACTTTAGATAAACATAATTAAATAGAAGATAAACATTTCATTTCAAATATAAAAAACTAAAATAGAATTAGGATAATCATTAAGTTATAACAAAATACTCGATTATTATCTTTATAAAAAATTATATTATGAAACTAAAAATAAAAAAATGAATTAAAAAAATACAAAAAAAAAAGAAATTTTAAATAGTTAATCTGGTACTAATATCAATATTTTTTTTAATGATATCTTTAAATTTATATTTTATTCAAAAATAAAAACATTATCGTTTTCTCGAACCACATAAAATCATATTATAACATCGACAAAGACAAATAAACAAAACACTAAAATCGAGATGTATTTGCTGTATTATGCGATTTTCATTTTAATACTTTATAATATGATTATTAAAAAATATTTATTTATTCTAAGAAGAAAGGATGATTTTGGACATTTTTATCCCTCGCAACTCCATTATAAAACCCAACCTCAACTCGAAGCTTAATACTTCTTCATCCCACCCAATCCCATCTTCTGTAAAGAAGAACCTTAACTGATGATACATACAGTACTCGATTACTAACCAAAAGCAGAATATTTACTAGGTTTTCGATCGTGTTACCATCTGGGTATTTTCAAAAGCTAATCGTTGTTGAGTTAGAAGCAGCTTGACCTGAGTATTGCCTAAAACTTGATCATTTTCAATCAAATTCCTCTTTTTTGGGGGGTGTCTACCAAAGGTGGTTTGGGGAGGCTTATAATCATCAAGAAACCACCAGTAAAGTTGTTAAAGAAAATGCTAGTGCTGAACAACGGGAAGTTATTTGCAATTCTTGAAAAGAAATTCTGTGTTGCGAAAAGTTTTTACTTCTGGATCTTCCAGATTTTCAGTAGATACAGTTTGGGTACTTAACTGGCTTAATTCTGCTGTCTCTGTGTTTAGTTTCTAGATCACGTAGAAAATTTTACAAAAAAATGGGATCGGTATCATTGCCACCAGGGTTCCGCTTCCACCCCACAGATGAAGAATTGATTGGGTATTACCTGAAAAGAAAGATTGAAGGGCTTGAAATAGAACTTGAAGTTATTCCAGTTGTCAAATTGTACAAGTTTGATCCATGGGAATTGCCCGGTAAGCTTTATATTTTCATAAAAAATATGAGTTCTGGAATGCACTCGATGTGTTTGGGTTTTTGACACAGTGAAACCATATTTCTTTAAGCTTTAGGTTTACTGGTTAAATATTGTCATAACCTCATTTTAGTATCTAGTTATCAAATTGTACCAGTTTCATGGATGGGAATTGTTTGGTAAGCTATGTTAATTTCTTAAAATTTGAAGTTCTCAAATGCACTCAACATGTTTTTTCTTTTGCCACAGTGAAACCAGTAGTTCTTCATAAGGATGCATTAAATTTGCGCATAAATCTTGTCATAACCCTTTTCTAAAGTTAAATTATTGTTCACCCTGATGATGTCGGTAATGGGTTTGATAAGGTTTCTCCTTTTTCGGGTTTGAGTCAACTTACGCTTAAAATCAAATTCTACTTTATTTCGTAAAATACAACCTTTTGTGTTCAACATCAATTGCCATATTGGAATATTGAGTATATAATCTGATATGTGAAAATTGCAGAGAAGTCATTCCTTCCGAAGCAAGATATGGAGTGGTTCTTCTTTTGTCCGCGTGATCGCAAATATCCAAATGGATCGCGCACAAATAGAGCTACAAATGCTGGTTATTGGAAAGCCACAGGAAATGACCGAAAAGTGGTTAGCAAGTCGTCTGTTTTAGGGTATCGCAAGACCCTAGTCTTCTACCGTGGACGAGCCCCATTTGGTGATCGCACAGCTTGGCTCATGCATGAGTACCGCTTATGTGATGATGTTTCTCATGGGACACCAAGTTTTCAAGTAAACATTTCAATGGACTTTTGTGCTTTACCACCTTCATTTATCAATTACTATGAAAAATTCATCATTATTAACCCATTGGAGTAGAGACAAATCTGCGTACATCCTACTCTGCAGACCCTACTTCTGTGTGGGATATACGGGGACTGTTTGGTTTTTTATCTGTATTAATCCACAAGGATAGAGGCACAGTCTGCGTATATCTTGTTCCCCTTACCCTACCTCTGTGTGGGAATTTACTGTGTTTGTTTGGTTTACTTTGTTTTTTTTATCAGTATTAACCCAGTGGGGTAGAGTTAAGGTCTGGCTACATCCTACTCATCAGACCTTACTTCTGTGTGGGACATCATGGATTTGCTTGGTTTGGTTCAGTTTGGTCTTTTATCTGTATTAACCCACTGAATCTCCAGGGATCGTTTACCTTGTGTCGTGTGATGAAAAAGAACGAGCAAAAAACAAGTTATGTTAATAGTGAACCAAAAACTAAGGGCATTGGAAGCGGTTCAAGCAATAGATACTCAAATTCTATCCAAGTTACAAATGAGCCGATTGGAAATGAGAGCAGTTTTTCGAGCCCTCTTACTTCTTATCAGAAAACGCCTATTTCAAATGAACCAGCTACATCGACAGGTCCAAGTGATCCTCCTAGCTTTTGGGTCTCACCTGCTTTAATTCTTGATTCTTCAAAGGTATAAATACAGAAAACTAAATAGAGAAATCCAATAGTATTTCTTTTTTTATCTTGTGAGAAGTGGTGGAACCCATCAAGTTACTCTTCAGAAGATCCCTTGAGGTGAGAAGAAGGTTCCAATATATAATGAAGTAGAAAGGTCAAGATTCTAACTCTAACACGCCCCCTCTAACGGAGGCTAGATGGGCAGAAAAGTCCAAAGGTAGACTTTGGCTCTGATACCAGTGGAAATGTGTGGAACTCCATTAGATTACTCTTCAAAAAATCCCTTGAATAGAGAAAAGGGTTCCAATATCTTGTGAATTAGTAAGGTCCAAGCTGATGTGGGACTCTAACACGCCCCCTCCAATGGAGGCTAGATGGGCATAGACGTCCAAATGTGAACTTTCGCTCTAATACCATGTGAAAGATGTGTAGAATCCAATCAGATTACGTTTCACATGATCCCTTGAAAAAAAAGGGTTCCAAATATATATTATAAAGTAGAAAAGGTCCAAGTCTAGCAGCTATGCATGCCCCCCACCAACTGAGGCTAGATGGGCGAAGATATTCTAGAAGTAGACTTTGGTTCTGATACCATGTAGGAATTGTCTAGTCCCATCAGGGTACTCTCCAAAAGAGCCCTCAAGGAGAGATGGGGGGTATTGAATTAGAAAGGTCTAAGTTTAACCGATGTGGGACTCTAACACTGATGTTTGTGATCTTGATGACAATGTAGGAACAAACAGGAGGACAAGAAGGGCGATCTGGGTGTGTCAAGCAGAATAAGTTTCCGAAGCCAACAATTCCACGGCAACCACACGACCAGTTTGGGATCTCTCCAAGTTCGTCATACTCGAATTTTACCGAGGAAGATGATCTCATTCGATTTGGCTGCATGTCACCATATTCAGGAGATGAAAGCTTGATGGGATTCTTCGGCATCGAAGATCCTACATCATATGAACCTTGTGATTGGACTAATTCACTTGAAATCTGAAACCCTTGTGAAAAAAACACCGTAAGAACAAAATCAGACGAAGGTCTTTAGCTAAATCTCGAATGCAGTGTTTGAGAAGAGCATATGCGTTCTGGTCTTTTTAAGGCTCATGTTGGTTGGTCCTTTAGTATCTGTTTTATGTCGTTTTTAGTATACAAAAAACCAACACCCTACTTGTTTATCGATTTCCTCTACGAGTTGATATGATTACGGCTTGTACCATCTACATCTATCTTTGTATGTACGAATAATCGGTTTTTATACGGACCGTTTGCTACGAAACACTGTTTCTGTATAATGCTTTCTTTCCTAAAAACTGGGGTGGACCTCGAACTAGATTTGGAACTGATTCTGAAGGACCAGGACTAGTTTCTGCCTTCTGGTGTAGTTATGCCATATCATTTTTGGTTGGAATAGGGACCGGCCAGCCCGGTTACAAGCCAACTTCTGTTCAGACCCACACTAGTGGATATGGTGGCACGAGTCATTGCTTCGTTCCTCTGTCGTAGTGTAAAAAATATTAGGGTCGTAAAAGTTGTCATCATATCATTTTGCTGTGTGCAGGTTTGAACCCTGAACACAGGACCCCACATTAGAAATGAAAACGGGACGGACGCATCCACGACCTTATTTGTTGTTTGTTTACCTCTTAATAGTTCTATTAAGAGTCAACCTCTAAATCGTTAAGAGGTGAATCTTGTTTGGCAAAAAAAAAAGTATTTCTATTACTGGTTTTAAAAATCCTCTTAATGATTTTGTATCTTAGATCTCCCTTAACCATTAATAGCCCTAATTTCATTGTACACAATTACCAAACAATTATATTTTATTTTGCATTATATCATGAAAGCCTCTTAATCATTCTGATCACTTAATCATTCAGTATCAAATCATTCAGCAATCGCCAAACAACCGTTAGAGAAGTTGTTTAGATGAAGTCAACCATGAAATGCAGTAAAAATAAATTGAAGAAACAAAACGAGAGAGGGCAAACGGGTCCTTAGCTCAGTGGTAGAGCATTTGACTGCAGATCAAGAGGTCACCGGTTAGAACCCGATAGGGCCCTTTTTTTTATTTTGCAATTTTTAAACAACGCATATGTTTTGAACACAAAAGAGTAAGGATGTATCTCGAGTCTTCCTTAACCATTAAGCACTCTAATTTCATTCAAAACAATTATATTTCATTTTTTACTGTATCATAAGAGCTTATTAATCATTCTTACCACTTAAGCTGCTAAATAGCCAGTAAAATATTAAATTAGTCGACACTGTTAGAAGGCAAATTAATCTCCATTTTAGAGATGTTGAAGACCACATCATCTCCGATTTCAAAGTCTTTGAAGCAAGCAATCCTCCCCAACGCTTCCACTTCTTCGATCACAAGGTCAAGTTTCGCAACCGCTTCCACCAGCAACGCCGCAAATGCGGCAAACGGCAACGCCTCCGAGAATTCCAAGCTCGTGATCGCGAGTTTGCTCAGCGTTGGCCTCAACAACCTCCCTTCTGCCTCCATTGATTGCTTGGAAGTTCGTTTTGATCGCCACTCGAACAATGCTGATGATTCTGTTTTTACGCTCGATAAATGCTTTTCGGGCTTCGATCGGGTCGTTTCGGCCACTAGGGCTAGCATGTTGGCGGTGTTGTTAGGACCATTTGGCCCCAGAAAGAGCCGTGGTTGCGATTTCAGGGCGGTGTCAAGGTCTTGTAGGGCTTGGTGGAGGTGATCCGAGAGTATTTCCGGTGAACATTGCCGACGATTGCGTATGCTATCGGCTAGTTCCATTAGGGCTTTTGATACTTCGGTTGCCAAGCGAGTGCACGGATCTTTGAACAGTAATCGAACCGATTTTGGAGTCTGAAAAATAAATCTATCAAGTTCGACACAAGAATTGATACCTTTCATCCCAAAATAATCGCCCACAATATTATAAAAGGGAGATTGTTGTAGAAATACGTAATCCTTATGATTTTAATAAACTAAATTACAATTTTACCCTTAATAATAAAGACACCAATTAATTTATTTATCAATAATTAAGGGGTAGAATTGGAAATTGACACCCATGATAACGAACTTTTATTTCAATATAAATAAAAATAAAAATGTGGACACATATTTCACGACAGATGACACCGTCGTAAATAGTAGTGTTTGATGGCACCCCAAAAAGGCTCCTCTAAGACTATTGATTTAGCAACAGCGAAAAGACAAAAATCATCCCTCTGTCGTCGTTATTTGTTTATTAGCGACGGGATTAAGCGTCACAATTGTATGCTAAGGCAAATAAAACCGAGAAAACCGCTAGTACCTGGATTTCAGTTTGTAAACTTCCATGAAGAGCGACAACCGTATATCCAAAATGGCGAAGAACACCTCCGAGTTTAACATATTGTTGCCACGGGAACGGATTACAGTGCCATGAATGTCGTGGCTCCCAGCTCGCGTGCAACGCCTGAAAGTTATTCCAATTCTATATTTAGCTACAAAATGATTTTTTTTGTGTCGCTAAAACTGATCAAAATGTAGTTAGAACGACGAAAAAGAGCCTACGCACGAGGGTTTCGTCTGTGGATTTAGAGTCCAAAACAGCCTTATAGTTCTCGTAAATTGGATCCTCTATCGATTTATCTTTTCCGGCATCTGGCTCTCCGTCGCTAAAGTATTCGTCAACACAAGCTGCATTTTAAGAAATCACACAAATACATAAATCTTGGTTTCCTCGACTTAACGTCGTTCGATGACGTAATAGAGTATTTAATAAGATTTAAGTTTATAACACCAACAACTGTGTATCGTATACAATGGTGTTATTGTAATTTGTTAGAACGAAGTTTAGACAATGATCTTAAACCCATTTTGTTGTAGTGATAATTGCAACGGGTACCTGCGATTGATTTTGCCAAACCTTCGATCTTGGAAACGGAGAAATTATGAAGATCTTCTCCGGACCAAATCGGAAAAATGAAAAGACTCATGAGAATGCAAACGCCGGAACCAATAGCCATGGTGTAGAGACGCTCACGAGCTAACTTTAGCACATCATCGACTCGATAACTCGATATAGTAATTAGGTTAAACGTCAAGAGGAATATAACGACACCATAATCGTAGTTTTTCTTTACGTACGGGAAAAACCTCAAGTACGTGCTGATCGATCCTGCATAAATCAATCAAAGATATAGGATACCGAGTTAAAAAGATACACTACTCGAAAATAGAGTATCAGTGGATATAAACCCCAAAAAAAGTGATGATTTAGTGACGGATTAGCGACAAAAGGAGATCCGCCGGGCTAATCTACCAAAATTGAGATAATCGTTTACCGATCAGAAAAACCGAAGCTCCTATAAAAACCGCACAAAAAACCTTCCCGCTGTCTGTAGCAATGAACTTGAATAAGAACGCCAACGATCCTGCGAACAACGTCCCAAGACCTCGATTCAATCCTTTGCACAAAGTTGCTCCTGTTGCACATATTAGAATAATCAGAATCTTTACACTATAACTAAACATGATTTATACGACACCCAAAAATGTCTAAAAATTGCCTTATTGAACGTTTTTGTACGTCTTAACGAGTTGCATACTAAAAAAAGGGATTCTTACCGGCAGTGAATTCAAGCACAACAACAACAGTCATAACAGCCCAAATGACATTCTCCCCAACCCCTTTAAACAATGGATTCAAAAGATATAATAAAGACACCAACGTCAACGACACTCCAACTTTGATCGAATGGATCGCTCGTCGTGGATCATCTCGACCCAGTTTCCAAATTTTACGCGGAAATCTCTTCGTCGTCTCCATGAAAACAGCGGCTCGTTTCTCAAAAACATCCATCGTACAACACTTGTCCGAAACAGCAGCAGAAATCAAACACATTTTAGATATACAAGTACAAGGGGAGGGGGTGAAAATGGTCACCTTTGGTTATTCAAAAGGATGTCAATAAGACGATAAGTTTTGAAGCTGTATCGGCACCCTTAGCAATCAGACACTTGGTTTAATTTATAGCTGTATATGTGCACACATATTCGTTTGGGTATAATTAAAGACATGACAATTTCACCAGCTCCGTTTTTTAACATGTTAAATGTGTGATTTCCATTAACAAATGTAAGAAAAAAAAAATATATATATATATATATATATATATATATATATATATATAAGCGATCAAATGCAAACCATCCAATTTGTACAAACCGTGCAAACCAATCATCTGTCGATTTCATTGTTTAATCTTATGAAATTTTTTCATGAAATTGTTTCATCTTGTGAAATTGTTTCATATAATACTTAATGAAATTTTAATGAAACCGTTTCATATATTTCTCTAGAATTAAAATAATGAAGATGATGATATCCATGATTAACACTCTACACAATAAAAATGATTAATCAACCTCTTATAATTACAAAAAAATAAACAAAATGAAAAATTATGATTGGTTGAATGAGGTTTGTATAGTTTGTATAAATAACGTGGTTTGCAAAGTAAACCTTATATATATATATATATATATATA